ATGAGGGTCATTCGGCTTGCACATACAACATATCAATCCTATTATTCCACATGGAAAATAACCATGATGCAAATATACCCACTTCATAGGCATGCTGGAGGGTTTGTAAGCCTCGCTAACGACATGCCTCCATGAAAGTACTAACTCTCGTTGAGATCAGAGCATCATGTTTATTTTCCACGTGGAATAATAGGATTGATATGTAGTATGTGCAAGCCGAATGACCCTCATTCTATCAGCGGAGGGAGTCCATATCAAAAGATAGGTTAGGCAAACACTTAAATAATAGTATTTTAATATCAAATTATTTTGCATGATTATTCTATGTATATGTACAGCTCTGTTCAGATTTAATGCGAATCGCCCGCTGTTAGCTTCGACATAACGCTGGTACTGGAAGAAGACGGAGACATCTTTTGTTTCTATTCAATTCGATTTCTGAAACTAAAAGAAGTTACCCCTTTCCTTAACACAGGTAAAACCGTCCCAGTTTGAAGTCGGCCGAAGAATGGATCACCCTTTTTTTAAATGTGTTAATTTTATTTTATTTTAAATCTTTTTTGATATTTTTAAGAACAACAAATACACGATTTTTATATGTTCCTCTAATAAATGATTTTAGAGTATTTCTATAAATAAAACATTAGATAAAAATCTCAGTAATATAATTAATATAATTTTTATATTAATATAAATAAATAAATAAAGCTTTATGAAACTCTCCTTCAAATTTTAAATAGAATTATTCAATATCAAAATTACGTGCATTCAAATTTGTCCGTTTTCTTAAATACAACATGCCTCGTGTTCCTGGTCAACGAGAGTCAGGTTTGGCTACGAGGCGATTAGTTAGGCAATTATCGCACTTCATCAAGAAGGAATAGATAAACGGGAAATTGCCGAACGTGTAGACTTATCAGTAAGATTTGAAGAAAACAGGAAAGTTGGCCTTACAACATCTAGATCAGATCGAAGACTTATTCTTAATAATGCTCAACGAAGGGGAATTGCTGAATACGTCACCGCCAATCCATTTACAACGTCTACAATTATCAACGATTTAATTCGATTGAATACATTCGAGTGCTGGTGGATGTTTTGATACCGTCAGCAAGAACCTTGTATCCAGAAGGGATCATCACGATTGTCCAAGACAATTCACCCGTGCACTCTTTAAGAATTGTTCATGATTGGTTTGACGATCATAATGAGGTTAGGCGAATACCCTGGCCAGCACGGTTACCTGATCTTAACCCAATCGACAATCTATGGGCTTTGGTGGAAAAACAGTTCAATAAAAATGCCAATTTTCCGATTCGCAACGTGGATAATCTGCCCCGCAATATTACAGTTGTGTGAGAATTGTTTCACGGCAAGGATGTATGCGAAAGATTAGTAAATTCGATGTCCACCATATTGCAATTTTGCATAGAGAATAATGGGTATTATACAAAATACTGATAATATTTGATGGTATAATGGACCTTATAAAATTCTCCCCAATTAGATTATTATAATATTTATTATATTTTACATGTGTAATAATATATTATATTTTTTGTTATATAGGAGTATTATATTTTATTTACGACTGCTTGGATAAGTCATCATTACCGCACTCATTTGAGGCGATTTGAGTTACGTAATGAAGTTCATTACCGCACTGGTTTCATTACGTAACGCATTTTTAGCCTAATCAGAACAGACTTAATTTATTGAAACGAGCAACAATACAAAAGAAAAAGTGCTATCTACTTACAGAGAAACAATACTATTTATTATAAACATTAATTGTTATGTTTTTACATTTCAAAACACTTATTCCAGATGAGTAAACATGTTGTTGAAACTGATAATTCAAAATTGTCAACAATCATTTCAAAATATTTTTATAAATGTCAAATAGACATTTTTAAAGAAATTGGTTTTTTAGTAATTTTTAGCAGTCGTAGATAAAATGCTGTATATCACACATGGGCTAGAGCATAATTACAGTACTCGTGTGATTACACGACTCGGTCTACGACCTCGTCGTGCAATTCTCCACACTCGTACTGTAATTAGGTTTCTAGCCCACTTGTAATATAAATAACTATTATTATATTGATTTTTGATTTTATTATATTAAAATGGTTTGCGATATATTTCAATATATAGTTTATATATAACTTACTATCAATATATAATTTTCATTTCTTATGAAGTTCGACTTATCGTTTCACTGTATTACCAAAGTAATACAGTAATTATTAGTAATTATTTTCATTTACTACAGGAATAGTGTAATGTAAATGGATTGCTTCTACTTATTTATTTTCTTAATTTTTTTTGTGATTCAGTCATCTTGGCCATAAATCACATTACCCCGCTTGCCTGTTCGGAATTTTTACAATACTACAGAGCAGGTAAAACCTGGAGTGGCATTCGTGAACGTAGGTCGTTTCTAGTACAATTGTATGCTTCTACGAGCGGCTCTTTTCGCATTATATCTGAACAGAACTGTACATATGGAAAACTAGCAGCTTCAGATATGGAAGTGTTCAATATACTTTACACATTTTTTCATCAAATTATTTTGCACGAATATTCTAGCTATACGTACATATGGAATTTTTGTTATTATTCCTCGTGGAAAATATATTGAACACTTCTATATCTTGAGCTAGCGTACCATATGTACATATGAATAGAACATTCGTGCAAAATAATTTAATATTAAAATAGTATTATTTAACTGTTTGCCGAACCTATCCTTTGATATCGACTCCTTCCGCTGACAGAATGAGAGTCATTCGGCTTGCGCATACAACATATCAATCCTATTATTCCACGTGGAAAATAACCATGATGCAAATATACCCACTTCATAGGCATGCTGGAGGGTTTGTAAGCCTCGCTAACGACATGCCTCCATGAAAGTACTAACTCTCATTGAGATCAGAGCATCATGTTTATTTTTCACGTGGAATAATAGGATTGATATGTAGTATACGCAAGCCGAATGACCCTCATTCTATCAGCGGAGGGAGTCCATATCAAAAGATAGGTTAGGCAAACACTTAAATAATACTATTTTAATATAAAATTATTTTGCATGATTATTCTACGTATATGTACATTTTTTCATCAAATTATTTTGCACGAATATTCTAGCTATACGTACACATGGAATTTTTATTATTATTCCTCGTGGAAAATATATTGAACACTTCTATATCTTGAGCTAGTGTACCATATGTCCATATGAATAGAACATTCGTGCAAAATAATTTAATATTGAAATAGTATTAAGTGTTTGCCGAACCTATCCTTTGATATCGACTCCTTCCGCTGACAGAATGAGAGTCATTCGGCTTGCGCATACAACATATCAATCCTATTATTCCACGTGGAAAATAACCATGATGCAAATATACCCACTTCATAGGCATGCTGGAGGGTTTGTAAGCCTCGCTAACGACATGCCTCCATGAAAGTACTAACTCTCATTGAGATCAGAGCATCACGGTTATTTTCCACGTGGAATAATAGAATTGATATGTAGTATGTGCAAGCCGAATGACTCTCATTCTATCAGCGGAGGGAGTTCATATCAAAGGATAGGTTAGGCAAACACTTAAATGATACTATTTTAATATCAAATTATTTTGCATGATTATTCTATGTCTATGTACATATGGAAAATTAGCAGCTTCAGATATGGAAGTGTTCAATATACTTTACACATTTTTTCCTCAAATTATTTTGCACGAATATTCTAGCTATACGTACATATGGAATTTTTATTATTATTCCTCGTGGAAAATATACTGAACACTTCTATATCTTGAGCTAGTGTACCATATGTACATATAAATAGAACATTTGTGCAAAATAATTTAATATTAAAATAGTATTATTTAAGTGTTTGCCGAACCTATCCTTTGATATCGACTCCTTCCGGTGACAGAATGAGAGTCATTCGGCTTGCGCATACAACATATCAATCCTATTATTCCACGTGGAAAATAACCATGATGCAAATATACCCACTTCATAGGCATGCTGGAGGGTTTGTAAGCCTCGCTAACGACAATGCCTCCATGAAAGTACTAACTCTCATTGAGATCAGAGCATCATGGTTATTTTCCACGTGGAATAATAGGATTGATATGTAGTATGCGCAAGC